TCTCTCCTCCCTCTTCATTAGTGTTTTATTTTATTTCTTTTGTGGGTACATGTATGTATATTTGAGACAGAGTCTTGCACTGTCACCCAGGCTGGAGTGCACTAGTGGGCTCATGGCTCACAACAGCCTCAGCCTTCAGGGCTCAAGTGTTCCTCCCACCTCAGCCTCCCTGGTGGCTGGGACCACAGGCATATGTCATCATGCTCGGCTAATTTTTGTATTTTTAGTAGAGATGAGGTTTTGCCATGTTGGCAAGGCCAGTCTCCAACTCCTGATCTCAGGTGATCTACCTCCCTTAGTCCCAAAGTGTTGGGGTTACAGATGTGAGCCATCATACGCAACCAGTTTTATTTTTCATACTACACCAGTTAAATATCCCCCCCTTCCCTGCCGCCGCTGAGACAGAGTCTTGCTTTGTCACCCAGGCTGGTGTTGTAGTAGCATGATCACAGCTCACTGCAGCCTCAACCTCCCAGGCTCAAGCAATCTTCCCACCCCAGCCTCCCAAGTATCTAGAACTACAGGCACACGTCACCACGCCTGGCTAGCTTTTGAATTTTTTGTAGGGATAGGGTTTCACTATGTTGCCCAGGCTGGTCTTGAACTCCTGGACTCAAGTAATCTGCCTGCCTTGGCCTCCCAAAGTGCTGAGATTACAGGTGTGAGCCACCATGGCCAGCCAGTTTTATTTTTCATACTATTATAGTTAATGGCCTCCATTCGCTTTATTTTCCCTTTTTTTGAGACAGAATCTCACTCTGTCACCCCTTTTACTCTAAGCAAACTTTATATCTTTTTTAAAAAAAGATTAAAAACTTTTATTTTTTTATTTTATTTTTTTTTTCTGAGACAAAGTCTTGCTCTATCACCCAGGCTGGAGTGCAAAGGCACAATCTTGGCTCACTGCAACCTCTGCCTCCTGGATTCAAGTGATTCTCCTGCCTCAGCCTCCCAACTAGCTGGGACTACAGGCGTGTGCCACCACACCCAGCTGATTTTTATATTTTTAGTAGAGATGGGGTTTCACCATGTTGGCCAGGCCAGTCTCCAACTCTGATTTCAGGTGATCCGCCCATCCTAGCCTCCCAGAGTGCCAGGATTATAGGCGTGAGCCACCGCACCCAGCCAGTTTTATTTTTCATACTGCCCCAGTTAAATCCCCCTCCCTCTCCACCACTGCTGAGACCTGGTCTTGCTCTGTCACCCGGGCTGGTATTGCAGTGACATGATCACAGCTCACTGAAGCCTCAACCTCCCAGGCTCAAGCGATCTTCCCACCCCAGCCTCCTGAGTAGCTGGTACTACAGGCACATGTCATCACGTCTGGCTAATTTTTAAATTTTTTGTAGAGACAGGGTCTCCCTATGTTGTGCAGGCTGGTCTCAAACTCCTGGGCTTAAGCAGTTCTCCTGCTTTGGGATTACAGGTGTGAGCCATCTACCAGCCTGTATTTCTAAATAAGTATTATGTATGATTGTGTTACTTCTCCACCAGAAAATTTTCACTTGCTCCCATTTTCTGGAGTATGATTGTTCAACATAGCACTCAGGATCATCTGTGATTATGTGGAGGCTATGTTTTCAGCTATATCTGACCCCTCTTTTCACATATATGCTAATACTGGTGGTTATTGAACATTTATGATGTTTTACATCTTTCTACCTAGAATGCCTTTTACTTCCCTTCCATTATGAGCCTTGTGAGGGTATAGAACTTGTTTCACTCATATTTGAATATTTCATTGCCTAACTCAATAAGTGTTTATAAAATTGATTATTTTTGGACAGTAAACTTTTGCTATGAAGAGTCAGATAGTAAATATGGCTTTGTGGGCTATATGGTTGCAGCTATACAACTAGGTGGTTGTATAAAAGCAGCCAGAGATAGTATGTAAATGAATGAGAAAAGTCATGTTCCAATAAAACTTTATTTCTGGACCATGAAATTTGAATTTCACATCATTTTCTTTTCTTTGTTTCTTTTTTTTTTTTTTTTTGAGATGGAGTTTCTCGCACTGTCACCCAGGCTGGGGTGCAATGGCACAATCTCGGCTCAGTGCAATCTCCAAATTCTGGGTTCAAGCAATTCTCCTGCCTCAGCCTTTCGAGTAGCTGGAATTACGGGCTCCCACCACCACACCTGGCTAATTTTTTGTATTTTCAGTAGAGACAGAGTTTGGCCAGGCAGGTCTTGAACTCCTGACCTCAGGTAATCCACCCTCCTTGGCTTTCCAAAGTTGGGATTACAGGCGTGAGCCACTGTACCCAGCTTTTCTTTTTTGTGTGTGTGAGACAGGGTCTTACTCTATCACCCAGACTGGAGTGCAGTGGTGATCTCAACTCACCACAAACTTTGCCTCCCAGGCTGAAGCAATTCTTCTGCCTCAGCTTCCCGAGTAGCTGGGATTATAGTTGTGCACCACTACTGCCTGGCTAATTTTTATATTTTTAATAGAGACAGGGTTTCATTGTATTGACCAGGCTGGTCTTGAACTCCTGATCTCAAATGATCCATCCATCTCAGCCTCCCAAAGTGCAGCCTGTTATAAAATACTCTTCGTCTTTGATTTTCTTTTTCCCAACGATTTGAAAATATAAAAACCATGCCTGGCTCACAGGCTGTACAAAAACAGGTAATGGACTACATTTATTTCATGGACTATAGTTTTCCAATCCTTGGCCTATCTGATGTCTAAACTTCTTTGGGCTGGGCATAGGGGCCAACATGGTGAAACCCCATCCCTACCAGAAATAAAAAAAAATTAGCTGGGAATGGTGGTGGGTACCTGTCATTCCACTTACTTGGGAAGCTGAGGCAGAAGAATCAGTTGAACACAGGAGGCAGAGGTTGCAGTAAGCTGAGATCATGCCATTGTACTCTAGTCTGGGAGAAAAGAGCAAAACTCAGTCTCAAAGAAAAAAAAAAGTTCTTTACTGTGCTAGCATTCTAGAAAACAAGATGATACAGAAAATTATGGCTGAAGTCTAGGGATGCACAAAATAATACTTCTGAGATAATGTGCAACATAACCTGCAGTATAACAGAGACTCATGGAATGAAGGGATAAAAAAGAAGGGGTAAGCTTTTTAGAAGAATAATTATATCTGGACACAAATATTCCTTTATCTGAAAGATAAGAATGTTAACATATACACTGTGAATGACTTGTAGCCAGTTGGGGGTCATTTAACAAATCAGATAAATGATTGCATGAAGGGAAAAAGTGATTTCAACTCCAGAAGCTCAGAGAGACTGGGCCTGAGTGATTTGGAAAGATGGAGGCGATTCTCCGACTATAGCCTTAGAATCCTCTGATAAACTATCAGTAATGCAAATCTGTTTTGTATGGCACCTTAGGAAATAATACAAAGTAAGTGTGTTGTTTGTTTCTTTCTCTCTCTCTCTCTTTTTTTTTTTTTTTTTTTTGGAGATGGAGTCTAGCTCTGTCGCTCAGGAGGGAGTGCTGTGGCATGATCTCAGCTCACTGCAACCTCCACCTCTTGGGTTCAAGTGATTTTCCTGTGTCCTACTCCAGCCTCCTGAGTAGCTGGGACTATGGGCACATGCCAGTACGCCTGGCTAATTTTTTGTATTTTTAATAAAGATGGAGTTTACCATGTTAGCCAGGATGGTCTCCATCTCCTGACCTCGTGATCCACCCAGTTTGGCCTCCCAAAGTGCTGGATTGCAGGCGTGAGCCACCGTGCCCAGCCTTTCTTACTTTTAAAAAATTTGAGCAAGTGGTTTGTGATAGTGAAGGTTCTCAAACAGGAATTACACATTGCTACTATTTTACTTTGTAGTTCATGTTCAGAGGCAGTATTGGACATAATATATTCTCGTATTTCAGACTATAGGCCTGCTACTCCTATGTACCGAAACTCTTTGTGACATACTGCTACTTTCCTTGTTCATTTACCAATAGGAGATGTTAAATACGTCTAAGAAAACAGCTTCTTGTTTTGTGAACTTCTCCAGATTACAGCAGATCACAGATATTCAAGCTGAAATCTACCAGGTAAATCATGTTGAACTTTTCACTTTCTGTGTCTAGTATAGGAAAACAAAAACAAAAACTGGCCAAGTCTAGAGGCTTACATCTGTAATCCTCACACTTTTGCAGGCCAAGCTGTGATGATTGCTTGAGCCCAGGAATTTGATACCAGTGTGGGCAAAATAGGGAGATCTCATCTCGATAAAAATTTAAAAAGTAAGCAGACATGGTGGCACAAACCTGTAGTCTCAGCTATTTAGGAGGCTGAGGTGTGAGGATCATTTGAGCTGAGATGTTGAGGCTGCATCGAGCCATGTTTGCACCACTGCACTCCAGCCTGGGTGACAGAGAGAGACCCTATATTAGAAACAAAAAAACTTTATTGGTTCTAACAGCAATTCCTTTGAACTTAGAACAGTGTCTAGCACATAGCTAGGTAGCTACATGTTTACTTAATAATAGTAGTAACAGTAATAGTAGTAGTAGTAGCAGTAGCAGGGCAAGAACAGCAAAATAAAAAACTTCAATAAATCTCCTGGACTCTCTTTTTTTTTTTTTTTTTTTTGATACAGTCTTGCTTTCACCCAGACTGGAGTAAGGTGGTGCAATTTCAGCTCACTACAACCTCTACATCCCAGGTTCAAGGGATTCTCGTGCGTCAGCTACCCAAGTAGCTGGGATTACAGGGATGTGCCACTACACCCAGCTAATTTTTGTATTTTTAGTAGAGACAGGGTTTTGCCATATTGGTCAGACTGGTCTCAAATTCCTGGCCTCAAGTGATCCACCCACCTTGGCCTCCCAAAGTGGTGGAATTACAGGTGTGAGCCACTGTACCCGTCCGCCCCTGGGCTCTTATAACAAATTATACTTCCATCCTACTTAAGGAATATACTAAAAGCATAGTCCTAGGTTAGACTATCCATTTTTGCCAAAGTTTAAGGCTGAAGTTTAACTTCGGGATACTTTCCGAGTGAGCTAAATGTTACTTTTGTTCCTTATGTAGAAAAACCTGGAAATTGAACTCCTGAAACTAGAAAAAGATACAGCAGATGTTGTTCATCCTTTCTTTTTGGGTAAGTGGTCTGGTTAGGTGGATAATCACTGGAATTACAACTTTTTCTTGTATTACTGTAAATAAGCACCAGTCAAATTATGATACACCATCATTCTTCCAGGTGTAGTCCCAAAGCTAAAGCTAAAGTCTTCTATTTCTGTGCTGAAATAGAACTTCTGTTGACTTGAGTAGTACAAATAGCATAAAAAGTGACCAAACTGGCTTCTCAAAGTCAGGAGAACTTGAAAGACAAAGTCTGAGGAACTTTTCAGATTAAAGGAGACTAAAGGGGCATGACAGCTAAAGCAATGTATGATCATGGATTCAATTTTTTTTTTTAATGTGTTGGGGTCTTCTTACATTGCCTAGGATGGTCTTGAATGGCTCAAGCAATCCTCCCAACTCAGCCTCCCAAGTAGCTGGGATCACAGGTGCATACCACCACAGCTGGCAATGTATTGAATATTTGATGAGAAAATTTTCTTGTATCCAGGCGTGGAGATTCATGCCTGCAAACCCTGGACTTTGGGAGGCCAAGGTGGGTGGATTACTTGAGCTTGGGAGTTCAAGACCAGTCTGGGCAACATGGTGAAAACCCATCTCTACAAAAAAGTACAAAAATTAACCAGGCATTGTAGCCTGTGCCTATAGTACCAGTTACATGAAAAGCTGAGGCAGGAGGATTGCCTGAGCCTGGGAGGCAGAGGCTGCAGTGAGCTGTGATTGTAGCACAGCACTCCAGCCTGGGTGACAGAGTGAGACCCTGTCTGAAAAAAAATAAAGAATTTTTTTTTTTTTTTTTTTGCCGTAAAGGACATTATTGGGATACTTAGTGATTTTTAAATATGGGCTGTATTAAATGTTGGTAGTATTGTATCAATGTTAAATTTTTTGAATTTGATAATGTGTTGTAGTTACATAGCAGAATGTTCCTGTTCTTGGGAAATACATGCAAACATTTTACAGGTAAAAAATATCATCCTGTATGCAGCTTACTCTCAAATGGGTCAGCAAAAATTGAGAGAAAGAGAAAGAGTGTGTGTGTGTGTATGTAGAGAGAGAAAGATAAAAATAAAATGTACCCAAATGTTAACAGTCGGTGAATATAGGTAAAATGTATATGGGAGTTCACTGAGCTTTTTTTGAAACTTTTCTGCAAATCTGAATTTTTTTTAAGTAAGAATTTTAAAGAAAGGTCAATTGGCAGCCATTAACTGAATGGGGAAAATAATGAGATAATCAGAAATAGCTTGTAAGATGACTTTTTTTTTTTTTTTTTTGAGTTGGAGTTTCACTCATGTTACCCAGGCTGGAGTGCAATGGCGCGATCTCGGCTCACCGCAACCTCCGCCTCCTGGGTTCAGGCAATTCTCCTGCCTCAGCCTCCTGAGTAGCTGGGATTACAGGCACGTGCCACCATGCCCAGCTAATTTTTTGTATTTTTAGTAAAAACAGGGTTTCACCATGTTGGTCAGGCTGGTATTGAATTCCCAACCTCAGGTGATCCACCCGCCTTGGCCTCCAAAGTGCTTGGATTACAGGCATGAGCCACCACACCCGGCCAACTTTTTTTTTTTTTTTTTTTTTTAAAGAGTATTGCTCTGTTACCCACATGGGAATACAGGTCACTAACTTTAACACCTGGATTCAACTGATTCTCTCAAGTAGCTAGGACTACTGGCATATGCCACCATGCCCAGCTAAAAAATTTTTTTTTCCATTTTTTTGTAGAGATGAGGTTTTGCTATGTTGCCCAGGCTGGTCCAAACTCCTAGCCTCAGTCCTCCTGCTTCAGTCTCCCAAAGCACTGCAATTACAGGCATGAGCTAGCACACCAGCTAAGGTGACTCTTTTTCTATGGTCTGTTATAGATTACTAGAGTCAGGGATAGGAAAAAATACATTGTGTTAAGAATGTAGCTCTGGCTATAAGAACTGAATAAGAGATGGAGATGAGAAACACAGAAAGAATTTAGCATTAGATTTAGTTATCACTAGGAAAAGAGGTAGTAGAAATATATTAGATAAATAAAAACCAACTAAGAGGAAGTTGTTGAAAATGAAATTGGTATTGGTATTAAAGTTAGCAAAGAGGAAACATTTAGGAGGGTAATGATGGGATAAATTTTTGACATTGGTAGTGTCAAACCAAGGCAAAGAAGAAATTATTGGTGATTCTGTTATCTGTCCTATTACTAACTATAATTACTATTTTTAATTTGTGTAGCTCAGAAGTGTCATACTCTGCAAAGCATGAATAATCATTTGGAAGCAGTGCTGAAAGAGAAGAGATCCCTTAGACAAAGACTGTTGAAACCCATGTGCCAGGAAAACTTACCTATTGAAGCTGTTTATCACAGGTTAGACTGAAAAGTAGACATTAACAGTTACACCTGTTTTCTGAGTTTAGTTTTTGTTTAGCAGTTACTTTGTAGCAGAATTCATAAGACAATTAGTGATTGTATTTGGCTTTTTTTGTTTGTTTTTTTGAGACAGAATATCTTGCTCTGTCGCCCAGGCTGCAGTGCAGTGGCACGATCTCAGCTCATTTCAACCTCTGCCTCCTGGGTTCAAGCACCTCTCCTGCCCCAGCCTCCTGCATAGCTGGGACTACAGTTGTGCACCATCACACATGGCTAGTTTTTAGTAGAGATGGGCTTTTACCATGTTGGCCAGTCTGGTCTCGAACTCCTGACCTCATGATCCACCTGCCTCTGCCTTCCAGAGTGCTAGGATTACAGGCATGAGCCACTGCACCCAGCATGGTTGTATTTGTTAACATTAATGTTGATATATTATACCAGAAAGAAAATCTTTGCTTTAAAACAGTAATACCTATGGCAAAAAGAAAGAACTTCCTTTTCACCATTGGGAATTATAAATTATGACTTAAATGAAAGAAATTAGATCCGTAACATGTAACAATAAAAATTGTTTGTATGTGAAGTAAACTCATTGTTGTGAAGTGAATTCATTGTTAAGTTAATGTTGCCCATATATAAAAATTCTGCTGGGGGTGTTTAACTGGGGCAGATGAAAACACTATCAACTAAGGGAGGAAAAAAACTGGATTCTTTTCTCATCTCTACTGTTTATATGCCTCAAAGCCTTGAGCAAATTATTTAAATTTTTGCCTTGGTTTCCCAGTAAATAGAATGGAGATGACTTCTATTGCCCTCTTCCTCACAGAGTGTTACAAGTATCAAATTGAAGGTATAGGTTATTACTAATGATAAATACCAGCCTGGGCACCGTGGTGAGACTCCATTTCTACAAAAAAAAAAAAAAAAATTATCGGGCCGGGCGCGGTGGCTCAAGCCTGTAATCCCAGCACTTTGGGAGGCCGAGGCCGGTGGATCACGAGGTCAAGAGATCGAGACCATCCTGGTCAACATGGTGAAACCCCGTCTCTACTAAAAATACAAAAAATTAGCTGGGCATGGTGGCACGTGCCTGTAATCCCAGCTACTCAGGAGGTTGAGGCAGGAGAATTGCCTGAACCCAGGAGGCGGAGGTCGCGGTGAGCCGAGATCGCGCCATTGCACTCCAGCCTGGGTAATAATAGCGAAACTCCGTCTCAAAAAAAAAAAAAAAAATTATCTACGCATGATGGTTCACACCTGTATTCTTAGCTACCTGAGAGGCTGAGCTGGGAGGAAGACTTGAGCCCAGGAGGTCAGGTCTCCAGTGAGTCGTGATCGCACCAGCCTGGGTGACAGACCGAGACCCTATCTCAAATAAATGAAGAAGCAAGCATTTGGGGATCTGATTGTTAACTTTCTCCACCAGTGCCTCACTAGCTTAAACAAACCAGTATCTTCTATTAAGTGTCAGATTTTTTATTTTGTAGGAAAATAATAGATATACAAAAACTTATTCTTCAAAAAAAAAAAACATAAAAAACAAACATGGCTGGGCACAGTGGCTCATGCCTGTAATCCCAGCACTTTGGGAGACTGAGGCGGGCAGATCACTTGAGGCCAGGAGTTCAAGACCAGCCTGGCCAACATGGCGAAACCCCATCTCTACCAAAAAAATACATAATATGCTGGGCATGGTGGCACATGCCTGTAATCCCAGCTACTGGGGAGGCTGAGGCAGGAGAATCACTTGAACCCAGGAGGTGGAGGTTGCAGTGAGTTGAAATCACGCCACTGCACTCCAGCCTGAGAGACAGGGTGAGAATCTATCTCAAAACAAAATACAAAACAAAAACCCTCTCTTGTGACTATATTCAGTAGCTATTCAGTACATTATCATTACCCTTGATGTATATATTGTACTACATCTCAGAACTGGGCAATGATTTGAAAGCATTTTGCAAATGCAGAGATTCAAAGTAGCTTTATATGTAGGCTTTTTCAATGAAATGCATTTATCCTTACTGTCTTCATTCTTCACAGAGAATGAGTAGGTTGAAATGGAATGAGGCTGGGTGCTATGGCTCATGCCTGTAATTCCAGTAGTTTGGGAGGCCAAGGTGGGTGTATCACTTGAGGCCAGGAGTTCGAGACCAGCCTGGCCAACATAACGAAACTCTGTCTCTTCTAAAAATATGAAAATTAGCTGGGCGTCGTGATGCATGTCTGTAATCTCAGTTACTCAGGAGGCTGAGGCACAAGAATCTCTTGAACCCAGGAGACGGAGGTTACAGTGAGCCAAGACTGTGCCACTGCACTCCAGTCTGAGAAACAAAAACAGAAAACAAGAAATGGAATGAGGAATGGGGTTTTATCTAAGGAAATTTCTTATATGAGAAAATGATTAAGATTAATATTGAGGTTTTTCCAACATTAAGGTGGGTTCCAGATATGATTACTGTTGTCTCTTTCCATTTTTTTATTTGACAAGTTATATGACAAGTTAAGTTGCTTGAAGTGAAAGAGAAGGACCTTTTTTTCATCACTAATATTTCCATGAATGCAGGAAGGTTGTTATTGGCTCATTAGGTTGATTGTAAGTCTTTGTTTCTTTTTTTTTTTTATACTCATCAAGCACAGACCTACATTCTAGATTGTAATTCTTATCTCAAAAGTCCTGATGAAAAGGAATACAAAACAAACTTTAAAAAATGTTAACTTTTTTTCTCTCTCTTTCAGATATATGGTACATTTACTGGAGTTGGCTGTGACTTTCATTGAGAGATTAGAAATCCACCTTGAAACAATTAGAAATATTCCTCATTTAGCTGCAAATCTAAAGAAAATGGTGAGTATTAATATAGCTGTCTTTAGTTATTTTATGCTAGAATCTCAGAGCGTGCTTTTGGTTTAGCTTTTTGATAGCTAATATTTGAGCTAGTTTTTTTGTTTGTTTTTTGTTGTTGTTGTTTTTTGAGACGGAGTCTTGCTCCATTGCCTAGGCTGGAGTGCAGTGGCACAATCGGCTCACTGCAACCTCTGCCTCCTGGGTTCAAGTAATTAGGGAAAAGTACCTGGGATTACAGGTGCCTGCCACCACGCCCGGCTAATTTTCTAGTAGAGATGGGGTTTCAGCATCTTGGCCAGGCTGATCTTGAACTCCTGACCTCCTGATCCACTCGCTTCAGCCTCCCAAATTGCTGGGATTAAAGTTGTGAGCCACTGGAGCTAGTTATTTTTTAAATCAAGGAGTGTTTTCTTGGCCGGTGTGGTGGCTCACATCTGTAATCACAGCACTTTGGGAGGCCAAGGCAGGTGGATCACCTAAGATCAGGAGCTCGAGACTAGCCTGGCCAACGTGGCAAAACTTCGTCTCTACTGAAAATACAAAAATTAGCCAGGTATGGTGGTGCATGCCTGTAATCTCAGCTACTTGGGAGGCTGAGGAAGGAGAATTGCTGGAACTTGGGAGACAGAGGTTGCAATGAGCCAAGATCCTGCTACTGCAGTACATCCTGGGCAAGATTCTGTCTCAAAAAAAAGAAGAAAAAAGGAAGTGTTTTCTTATTTATTTATTTAGACCTTGGATTTAACATTTTCTTTTTTACAAAATTTTTCCCATTTTCAATTCTTTTATTCCAACATTTAATAAATATGTGTTACCTTCACTGTGCCATGGCTATGCTATATGTATTGTGAAAGATAGATATGACCAATCTCTGCCTTCAAATTGTCAATGTTTGGTAAGACAGCTATAAAATATATATTTTCTACTTTATAGGATTGTATTTGCATAATAAATACAGCAAAGAATTATAAAGAAATGCTATCTATTGAGCATAGAAGAGGGAGGAATTACTTCCGATTTAGAAGGATTGGGAGTAGGTTAGGGTAGGAAGACTTAAATAAAGATTTTTTGTTTTGCTTTTCTCTTTTTTTTTTTTTTTTTTTAAGACTGGGTTTCACCATGTTGGTCAGGCTGGTCTTGAACTCCCAACCTCAGGTGATCCGCCCGCCTTGGTCTCCAAAGTGCTTGGATTACAGGTGTGAGCCACCGTGCCCGGCCTGTTTTGTTTTTCTCTTTATTTCCAGGTCCCTTGGCATTTTGGTGGTTTTGCCTTTTAAATAGAGATGAGTTCTATGTTGCCCAGGCTGATTTCTAACTCCTAAGCTCAAGTGAGGCACCCACCTCAGCCTCTAAAAGTGCTGAGATCACAGGCATAAGCCACCACGTACAGCTTCAATAAAGTTTTATTTAGGTGTTAGCAGTAAGCCAGTTTTTTGTTTGTTTGTTTGTTTGTTTGTTTTCCTGAGCTACAGTTTTATTCTTGTTACCCAGGCTGGAGTACAGTGGCACAATCTCAGCTCACTACAACCCCACCACTTGGGTTCAAGCGATTCTCCTGTGTCAGTCTCTCAAGTAGCAGGGATTACAGATGCCTGCAACCACACCTGGCTAATAATTTGTATTTTTAGTTGAGACAGAGGTTTCACCACTTTGGCCAGGCTGGTCTCGAACTCCTGACATCAGGTGATCCACCTACCACGGCCTCCCAAAGTGCTGGGTTTACAGGTGTTAGCCACTGTGCCCGGCCAACGTAAGCTGAATCTTAAAGAATAGGTGAAATTCAGACATGAGTCAGAAAGAATAGTTTGGCCAAAAGGAGCAATTGGGGAAAGACATGTAAGTCAAACAACCCAGGTAGTATGGGGGGAAGAGTGATATTCCACTTTGGCTGATGCCTAAAGGAAACCAGACTTTACTGAGTATTGGGGAGCAGAGAGGAGAGAGAGAGAGAGAGAAATTGTTTTCCTTTTTTAGCAAAGGCCGCAGAGGAGTTACTTGATTAGAACTGTGCCTTAATCATGGAGAAAATATTGGAAAGAGTAGTCTGAACCTTCCTACCCTTAAGTATGGGCAGAGAGTATCAGCATCACCTGCAAGCTTGTTAGAAATACAGAACTGCAGACATCATTCACCCTAGGCCTTCAGAATGAGAATCTACATTTTAACAAGTTCCTCAGGTGATTCCTGTACAAATTAAAGGTTAATCAGCTCTGGATTAGAAGACTGGTGGAGAAACCAGAGGCAGAGAAACCTGGAGACTACTTACACTGATTCAGTTAAAAGATTTAAAGTATAAGAATACAGAAGATAAGCTTTGCACAGTGGCAGGATTGTAGCCAATGAGGTTTATCCAAGGCGCGATTATTGCTAATTGAAGACTTTTCCCAATACCCCGGCGTGACGACTTGCAATACAGTCAGCACTGGCAATTTTTGACAGTGTCTACGGAGACTGATTAAAAAAAAAAAAAAAAGAATACAGAAGATAAATTGTTTAGATTTTGGAGGTCAAATTTTTAGAACTTGGCTATGAGTTGGACAAGGGACACATTAAAGGTAATGAAGTTTCTAGTCTGGGTGACTTGAAGGTGAGTAGGATTAGTGTGGGTTAAAGAAGTTAGTAAGTTTATTTTTTGACACATCTTTCATATGTAGTAAATGGTCAATCATTGTTGAACTGTAGTTAAATTGAGTTTGAGATGTTGAAGGTACATCCGGATGGAGATTACCAGTAGTCTTAAATGTGGGCCAAAATTTTAGGAAGGAGGTTGTGTTTAGCAATGTAAATTGAGAGTCATCTGCATTGAGTGATTATTGATGACAGAAGAGGTGAACTTACAAAGAGTAGGTTTGTACTGTAAGAAGTGGGAAAACACAATTTTAAGGAGCTTTTGAAGGGGCCGGAAAAAGATCAGGTGGTAACCTTTGGTTTCAATTATTCATGATATAATGAATTAATAACAGACATAATTTCTCCTATTTCCCTTTTCAAATGTTACAGAGCAAGGCTTTAGCAAAGATGGATATTTTGGTGACTGAGACAGAAGAATTGGCAGAGAATATACTCAAGTGGCGTAAACAACAAAAGGAAGTTTGCTCTTATATCCCCAAAATATTAGCTGAAGAAAATTATCTTTATAAACATGATATTATAATGCCTCCTTTACTTCTTACTTCTAAAGTTCATGTCCAATCTGTTAATGCCAAATAATCATCAACTTCATTTTTGCTTAATTATGTGTAATCATATGAAGTCTATTTCGAATTGACTATATAACATGGTTATTAATAGTCTTTGCTGCTAGTAATACTGAAAGAACCTGCTTTATATTAGAGTGTCAAGATCTCAGGTTCATTAAGACCAAACTGACTTTTCCTTTGTTTTTCATATATTTTCATTCTACTTTTCAGTAAAACTAGAGAAGATTAAAAAATAGCCATGACAATTTATTAACATAAGTGAACTAACCATTTCTCAGGCAGAAAATTCTCTATCATGTCTTTTTTAAAAAATGTGTGTTTATAGCAGGCTGTGATGGCTCACACCTGCAATCCTAATAAGTTGGGAGACTGAGGCGGACAGATGGCTTGAACCTTGGAGTTCAAGTCCAACTGGGGTAACATAGTGAAATCCCATATCTACAAAACATACAAAAAATTAGCCGAGCATGGTGGTCCATGCCAGTAGTCCCAGCTATTTGGGAGGCTGAGGTAGGAGGATCACCTAAGCATGGGAGTTTATGGTTGCAATGAGAATGATCACACCACTACAGTATAGCCTGGGTAACAGAGAAAGACCCCCATCTCAAAAAAAAAAAAAAAAAAAAAAAATGTGTTTCTGGCCAGGGTCAGTGGCTTACACCTGTAATCCCAGCACTTAGGGAGGCCAAGGTGGGTGGATCACCTGAGGTCAGGAGTTTGAGATCACCCTGGCCAACATGGTGAAACACCATCTCTACTAAAAATACAAAAATTAGGCCAGGCATGGTGGCTCACGCCTGTAATCCCAGCACTTTGAGAGGCCAACCCAGGTGGGTGGATCACCTGAGGTCAGGAGTTCAAGACCAACGTGGACAACATGATGAAACCCTGTCTACTAAAAATACAAAAAAATTAGCCGGGCATGGTGGTGGATGCCTGTAATCCCAGCTACTTGGGAGGCTGAGGCAGAAGAATTGCTTGAATCTGGGAGGCAGAGGTTGCAGTGAGCTGAGATGGCACCACTGCACTCCAGCCTGGGCAACAGAGCAAGACTCAGTCTTGAAAAAAATAAAAAATTAATACAAAACACAAGAATTACCTGGGCGTGGTGGCATGCACCTGCAATCTCAGCTACTCAGGAGGCTGAGGCAGGAAAATCGCTTGAACCTGGGTGATGAAGATTTCAGTGAGCCCAGATTGCACCACTGTACTCCAGTGTGGGCAACAAAGCGAGACTCTGTCTCAAAAAAACGAACAAACAAAAACGGGTGTTTCTGAATTAGAATGGTCTTCTTGAATCTAAAAATGTCTATGGTGATTGTTCCTGTGGGAGTGTCACTAAGTATGCAGAAAAGAGTAACAGCCAGACTGACTTATCCTTTGAAAGGCCTGATTGATTATAAGGTTCATCCTTGGCTGTTGCATCTGGGAACTTAGATATCTATCAAAAGGTGTCTTAGTCTGTTCTCCTCTCATAACAGAATTACACAGACTAGGTAGTTTATAATGATCAGAAGTTTATTTGGTTCACAGGTGTGCACAGTAGGCAGTCCAAGAATATGGTACCATCATCTAGCGCGGGTCTTGCCATGACAGAAGGCATCACATGGCAAGTGAGCAAGAGAAAGATATATGGGGCTAAACTTAGCCTTTTATCCTGAGCCCACTCCTGAGATAGCAACACTAATTCATTAATGACAGCCAAGCCCTCCTTACCTAATCACCTTTTAAAGGTCTCTTCTCAACACTTTTACAATGTCAATTTAATTTCCAGCACTTAAAGTTTGGGGGACATATTTAAACCTTAACAGGAGGGCACCATTCACTAAAAAGAGTGGCTCATGGTAACTAAGCTGTTTGTACAATGTGGTTTGTGCTTTCCTCCTGGGAATCTACAGTTTTGGTACATGGTAGGTAGAAGGTACCTAAGTGACCAGCCCCAGTAAAAACCCTGGCCACTCTCTAACAAGCTTTCCTGGTAAACAACATTTCTTACATGTTGTCACAATTCAGTTGCTGGTGAAATGAAACAACACATATGTGTGACTCCACTGTTAGAGGACTCTGGGAGCTTGTGCCTGGTTTCCCCCAGACTTTACCTCTGTACATTTTCTCTTTCCTGTTTCACTTCATATGCTTTTGCTGTAATAAATCATAGCTGCATGATGATATGCTGAGTCCTGTGAATTCTACCTGGAAATCATGGGATCTGGAGGTAGTCTTGGAAATCCTGGCACACTAAGCAGAGTTCCTGAGTGTTTACTGGCAGCTGAAGGAATAGGCAAAGAAGAAACAGCAAAGAAAAAGGCACATTGTGGTAACTTTGGAGGTTTACCTTACAAAATGCTCAGATATTTTACCTATCTGAGGTTATCGTGCATATAATAGAGAGTGATATACTAACAACTGCCTCAGGATATACTCATTTTTTATCAGAATTGTAACTATCCCTGGCTTATTTTACTTTTAAACTTGGGGTTCTGTTTTGCTTTAAAACGTGTACATCAGTTTTGTTTTTTTTTTTTTTTTTTTTGAGACGGAGTTTCGCTCTTGTTACCCAGGCTGGAGTGCAATGGCGCGATCTCGGCTCACCGCAACCTCCGCCTCCTGGGTTCAGGCAATTCTCCTGCCTCAGCCTCCTGAGTAGCTGGGATTACAGGCACACACCACCATGCCCAGCTAATTTTTGTATGTTTAGTAGAGACGGGGTTTCACCATGTTGACCAGGATGGTCTCGATCTCTTGACCTCGTGATCCACCCGCCTCGGCCTCCCAAAGTGCTGGGATTACAGGCTTGAGCCACCGCGCCCGGCCCTGTTTTTTGTTTTTTTTCTTTGCTTTTTTCTAAGACAGGATCTCATCTGTCACCCAGACTGCTGGAGTGTGGTATGGCCTGATCTCGGCTCACTGCAGCCTCGACCTCTCAGGTTCAAGTGATCCTTCCACCGCAGCCTCCCAAGTAGCTGGGACTATAGGCACGCGCCACCATGCCTGGCTAATTTTTGTATTTTCTGTAGAGACGAGGTTTCGCCATGTTGTCAAGGCTGGTCTCGAACTCCTGGTTTTCAAACAATCCTCCCACCTCAGCCTCCCAACGTGCTGGGAGTACAGGTGTGAGCCACCATGCCTGCCCTCATCACACTCCTTCACACAAGAAGACTTCAACAATGATGAGTAAAGTGGTTGTTTATAAGGAAGCAGGTGGATTACCAAAACAAATCCTGCTAAAACACCAGGTATCATGTTTTAAAGTCTACTTTGCTAATTTTAGCTAATAGGATAAGAGTGGTTGTAATATCATGAACATTACATAGACACTTACACAAAGCCTTTGGTTGTATTTCATCAAAAACTTGTTTATACCCCACCTTGGTTTCAAAACATCTTACTATGCTTTTTCTTCATGTTATTTCCTATCTTCATTTGTGTGTGTGTATATATCACAAATATTGATATGCCTGGTTATTTTTGTTTTATATCTTTTTCAAAATGTAAAAATAAACCTGTAATTTCTAACTAAAATTTTGTAGCCCTTGTCTGAATCTAAAGTGATAGAATGGACTGATGCACTCTGTAGCTTATACACTATAGGCATACAGACAATCTGAATCAAAAGAGCTTGAGGTAAGTAAAGCCTGAGGTCTACTTCAAAGGAAAAAGTTAATTTAATACTCTTCTAGAGTCAATCAGTGCTGATCAATTTTTCTTTAATTATTCAACTTTTAGATGGGTAGATATTAAAAACAAAAAATTAGCTTTGTGTGTCTTTTTTTTTTTTTTTTTTTTTGAGATGGTCTTGCTCTTACCCAGGCTGGAGTGCAGTGACACAATCACAGCTCACTGCATTCTCAACCTCCTGGGCTCAGTAGATCCCTACATCTCAGCCTCCCAAGTAGCTGGGAATACAACTGTGCCCCACCACACCCAGCTAATTAAAAATATTTTTTGTAGAGATGGGGTCTTGTCATGTTGCCAAGGCTGGTCTTGAACTCCTGGGTTCAAGTGATCTTAGCCTCCCAAAGTGTTGGGATTATGGGTGTGAGCCCCTTGCATCCAGCCTACTTACACTAGGAGAGGTGTGTGAAATTTGAAAATTTACTGCGAGCATAATAGTGATGCCAGTTTGTGAAGACCATTCTGGAGGAATTGAGATGCTGCTAGTTTTCCTAGCATTTCTCTTATTTTATTTCTTTCTCTATGTGACTCTACCAGTCTGACCCCTATTATATCCTCTGAAAGCTTCAATGAAGTCAGGAAGATAGTCTGAGGAATAGCAGAACTTAAAAGATTTCTTGACATGCAAAATCTATAATAGAGTTGAGATTTTAATAAGACTGTCATTAGTGTATTGTGGGATTTCTTCACATATCACTAAAACACATGAATTTACATAAAATATTTATCCCACAGTTTGGGGAATCCTCTGAGTTTACTGAAAAAAATTATACATTTGACTCTTGAGCAACGTAAGTTTGAAGTGCACAGGAATATGCAATTTTTTTCAATATATTGGAAATTTGGAGCTTTGTGCCACTTGAAAAATTCACAGATGAACTGTGTGGCCTACAGATATCAAAAAAATTAAAAGGTATAAATGCATAAAATATATGTAGATACTAGTCTATCATTTACTACCACAAAATACACAAATCTGTTAAAAGTTAAATTTTATGAAAACATACAGACTACATGTAAACAAATTAAAAATGCAGTATTAAAGCATAACTATAAAGTTAACTAGTGCATACTGTACTACTGTAATAATTTTGTAATTGCCTCCTGTTGCTGTTTTAGTGAGTCAAGTGTTGCCAGTATCTGCTTAAAACCCTGTGATGCTAATCATCAGAGTAGTTCGTCTCTTCAGTAAACTGTATCACAATAAAAAGTGATCTCTTGAGGTTCTCAAGTGTTTTTCACCATATTCAGTGCAATACCATAAGCCTTTAATAATATCAGGGGACCAGTACAAAGTGCCACTAGTGATGCTGCACGTGCTCCCAAGAAGCAGAGAAAAGTCAGGACATTACAAGAAAAAGTTGAATTGCTTGATATGTACTGTAGATTGAGGTCTGCAGCTGTGGTTGCATGCATTACAAGATAAATGAATTCATTGTAAGGCCCATTGTAAAAGAAAAAAAAAATTGTGCAGCCATTACCACAGCTACACCAGCAGGCACAAAAACCATGCACTTTTTGTGAAATATGTTGTTAATAGTTTAATTTTTGTAGAGACAAGTTCTCACCATTTTGTCCAGGCTGGTCTCAAACTGCTGGGCTCAAGCAATCCTCCTACCCCAGCTTCCCAAAGTGCTGGGATTACAGGTGTGAGCCACTGTGCCCAGCCCTGAAATATCTTTTTATCTTGTATTGAAAATGCAACTTTTGGCCAGGCATGGTGGCTCATGCCTGTAATCCCAAAACGTTGGGAGGCCAAGGTGGGTGGATCACCTGAGGTCAGGAGTTCAAGACCAGCCTAGCCAACATGCTGAAACCCCGTCTCTACTAAAAATATAAAAATTAGCTGGGCATCACGGTGCACACCTATAATCTGAGCTACTCGGGAGGCTCCAAGCAGAAGAATTGCTTGAATCCAAGAGGCAGAGGTTGCAGTGAGCCGAGATCATGCCACTGCACTCCAGCCTGGGCAATAGAGCAAAACTCCATCTAAAAAAAAAAAAAAAAAAGAAAATATAGCCTTTATGTGGGTACAGGATTGCTGTAAGAAAAACATACCTTGCCAGGCGCAGTCTGAAGCCTGTAATCCCAGCACTTTGGCAGGCTGAGGCAGGCAGATGACCTGAGGTCAGTGGTTTGAGACCGGTCTGGCCAACATGGTGAAACCCTATTTCTACTAAAAGTATAAAAAATTAGCTGGGCATGGTAGTGTGCACCTGTAATCCCAGCTACTTGAGAGCCTAAGGCAGGGGAATTGCTTGAACCAGGAAGATGGAGGTTGTAGTGAGCCAAGGTGGTGCCACTGCACTCCAGTCTGGGTGACAGAGTGAGAGTCCATCTCAAAAAAAGAAAAGAAAAGAAAAAAACGTACCTATATAAGATCATTTGAGAACAAGCAATGTCATTATATGACAGCTTAAAGCAAAAGGAAGGTGAAGGATCTAAAGCTAAAGAATTTTGCCCCCTCTCTCTCCAAGGAAAACTAGGCCCCTGCTTGGCCACTGCCCAGGATCTGCAAACTGCATGCCCATGAGTTTTGGCACCCATTTGGACTTTCACAATCAGAGATGGCAGCAATGAAAGCATCAACATTGAAAGCTCCCAGGCAGTGGTATTCTCATCTGGTATATGCAAGCAAGATACTGGCAACATTGTCATCAAACAATGGCTTGGATGCAAAGCCACCAGAATGCCTACAGGAAGGCTGTGGTGTTTCAGTCTTCCATGGTACTTCCCTCCTGCACTTCTTCCCCAAAGCTCTTACAGTAACCAGGCTGTGTACCCTCAGTCTTTCTATGACCATCATGTGGCCTGGCAGGACTCCCCCTACAGCTCTTCACATTTCAGAGGGTCTGGGCACCATCCACATGACAGTAGTAGGATCCAGGCATCCACAAGAGAAGACCAAGCTTTGTCCAAAGAGGAAGAGATGGAGACCGAGTCAGATACAGAGGTAGAATGTGACCTGAGCAATATGGAAGTCACCGAAGAGCTCCACCAGTACTTTGCAGAGACCAGAAGTCACAGAGAATGACAGAGGCAGCAGCAGCTGGATGCAGAGTGCCTGGACGGCTATGTGAACGCTGACCATGACCTGAACTGCGATATCTGCCAGTCAGTAGAGGCCCCAAATTAGAGGCCTGGTGAGTGGTGCCAGGCCGAGATGAAGCGTTTGTACAGGGACAGCGCCGCCAAGATCCAGGCCATGGAGGCTACAGTGCAGCTGACCTTTGAAAACAGCCCAAGTACTGGGCGGTCATCCCCCTGAAGTTTTGAGCTTGGGGCAAAGGGCCCCAAGCCTCTCCCTCTTCCTTCTGGGTACATGCTCTTCATCTCTCCTTATGTCCATTTCTCAGAGAGAGGGAACTTTGTGCTGAGGTACAGGTATGTTCACCACAGTCCCAGTGGGCCTGTCATGGGGTGGATGAACTATGCCAGCCACTTGGAGGTCAGCAGGACATGTTCTGTTGCCAACATGATAAGTTTTCTCCTGACATAAAAGAATTTTGTACATGTTATACTGGTTTTTTATGTTGTCAGTAACAGCTCAGTTCATTAAAGTTCTTGCCTGGAAAAAAAACACAAAAAGAATTTTATGCCAGCAAAGAATGGTTTGAT